CAGGAATTGTGACAGCCAGGTCAGGGAGACCTGCCTGGGGACAGAGTGGAATGTAGACACCCACAGGCTCCTTGTGCAGATGGAGCCCTGAGAATGTCCGGCTCCAGGGAACCAGTGGCCAGGTGTCAGGGCTGCCAGCTCTTTCCAGAAGCTCTGCCTGCTTGGACGGCTTGCCCTCCTACATCACTGATGCCTGAGAGCTGCCATCTGCTCCCCAGGAAGCCGAGGAAAGGGAGGGCCTGGGCTGAGAGACCTCCTATTCATCAGAGGCAGCTCCCTCCCAGAACCCTAGGGCTCTAGCTAGCCCAGTGGCCTCAGAAAAAAGCCAGCTTACCAGGGGAGGGAGGGCAGGCTGACCCTGCCCAGGCCTCAGGAGGGCTACCCCTCCCATCATGCTTTCAGAAGATGTGGGTCCAGAGGGTGATACTGGGCATTGAACCCTACCACCCTGGGCCTAGGGCAGCTGTGTTTCCTAAGGTTCCCATGGAGCCTTCTCCAACCTGGCCAGGCCCAGGTGCCCCTCAGCCAACAGCAATGAAAGGTGCCACTCTCAGGCAGCAGCACCTTCCTGGAGGCCTTGAAACGTGCCCCTCACACCTACATACTCACTCTCATCAGGGTTGGGGGAGGCCAGGATGGCACTGTGCTTCCGCTTCACCTCCTCCACATTCTCCGAGATCTTGTCAATGAAGCTGCGGATTTCCTCCACCTGTAGACCGAAGTAGGATGGTCAGGAGAAAATCCAGGGACAGGGCTTCCTGGGCCCATGGCTTGCTCAGAGTGGCACCAGAGGTCAGGCTTTGGGCTAGGCTGGGCCAAGTGGTAATGGTGGGAGTGGCTGCTCCAAGTTCATTCTAGACTGCGGTGGTGAGAAGTGGGCCAGTCCAATCCCACACTTTGTTCCCCTTTGATCTGCAGTCTATCCAACCTCAAAATAGGTTAATTGGTGCCCAAGGGCTGCTGAGCCAGGCACAGGTGTGTAAGAACCCTGAGCCTGGCTCAGAAGTGAGACATGGTCACCCAAGGCCTGCCAGTGTATGGGGAGAGATGAAGTGTGCTGGCTCCCACCTGTTCAAAGAACTCATCCATGAAGCGGTCTCGGTCCACAGTAACAGTGACATCATCATCATCATCGCTGTCCTTGGCCTGCAGAGGTATGCACACATGAGCGGACCTGTGGTAGGACCACTGAGTCCCACAGGACCTGAGAACCCAAACTGCCTAGCATCCATATGTAGCAGGCTCGCAGGCTGCAGCTCCAGGGCCCTGACCATTCCCTCTGTCTTTTTGGCAGGAATAAGGCCTGGCTGTGCCCTCAGCTCCCAGCCACAGTGAGACCTGGAAGATCCCTGGTGACCCAGCATAAGGAGAGAGGCCTTGCCTTTTAAGTTGGTAATGGGGCTTAGTCTCCATCTCCATCCAGGGACTCTTTTCCCTGCCCAGCTGCCTGCCCCTTCCCCCAAAGGACCGTGGTCTTCCTTGTACCTCCTCCACTCTAGGGTGCCACCTGGGAGGCCCTGCCACTGGCTGGGCAAGAAAACCTCAGGGCTTGGTCCCCTGGCCAATAACCCCAATTCACAGACCTTGCCTGAGATAGGCCATCTGGAGGCCAAGATCGTGTCCCCTCTAGGCCAGGAGTTCCCAAGCTCCCTTTCTTGGAAGGGCCCCACAGCATCCCAGACAAGCTGAGAGAGACTGCCTGTGCAGGGCTCTGCCAGGTGCCGGCTTTGCCCACTCCGCCTTCTCAGGAACCTCTCTCCTGGTCAGTCTTGACATAGGACATTGACTCCCTTTCTTTTCTGGCCCAGAGCTGGGCCCAGTAGGCACAAGAGGCCAGTCATGTTGCCACTTGGCTTGGAGCCTGCCTAGGCCTCAGCCACAGGTATAGGCCATACAAAAGCCACCTGCATCATGGAGTGGGGGTAATTATACCTCTGACTTCCCTGCATGCTGGCCATGTTCATTACTGTCCACCCAACACCTTGACTCAGCCAGGGTCAGCCCACTTTGCTGGCAAGGTCAGCGTCCCTCTCCAGAGTTAAAGCCAGGGCAGGACCATCACCCCTTAGACTGGAGTTCTTAGGTTCAGTCACACTTCTTCATTTCTCAATGCCCTATGGGGAGAAGGCACTAGCTGGCTGGGCACTGGCTCTCATCTCCATGCTCTTTCACATCAAGGACCAGGATGGAGGCAGGTGGAGGTTGAGGTGATGGGAAAGCTGAGGGACTAACATAGACACTGACTGGCTGAGGGACTTATCTGTGGGTGTGTTTGCTCTACAAAATGGGGACAGTGAACATCTGGCTACAGGGAGGGCTGAGGAAGGGTGGGGAAGCATAGCATGTTCTTTAAAGGGCTGTGCCCCTAGGGCTCTAGGGAGTCCCACCACTCCACCAAAGTAGGGTTTGGCTAGAAACTTTATGGAGATGGCTCTGAGGGGCCCCTCTCATCAAGAGATCACACCTCCTCCCCCAGCAGCTAAAATAAATGCTGGTTCCCACAAGTGCCTGTGGCTGCTACCAGGTGGTACCCCTTCCACCACCAAGCCCACCTATAGACACAGGGAATCTAGAGCCATTCCCACACTTTTAGACCATGCCTAGGAACTGAGGAGCACTCTCTAGGGAAACTGAGGCAGAGTGCAGCCTGGAGGAGCCCAGTTCCCCTTCCTTGGCAGCCTGACAGGTTGGCAAGTGCCCCAGGAGCTCCTGCCATTCAGCGCCCTGCCCTTTCTGTCCTTCTGGTGCTCAGAAACAGGAGTGGGCTTGCAGAAGGAGGTGGCGAATCTTCCAGCTCCCTTCCCAGAAAGAACAGTGATCAGCTAGGGCCAAAGACAAGGGCACCTGAATCACCAGAGACGAGAGTCATTGCAAGAGACCCTTGGGATCTGAGTTGGTGACCTTCTTTGGGCCTCAGCTTGCCCGTCTGTAAAACAAGGTCATATCTTATCCAGGTGTCCAGCCAGCTCTGACCTGCTACCTTCACAGCCACCCCAGAGGACTGAAGGCTGGACTCGGGTAGTTCTTCCAACAAAAGGTTGACATGAGAGATGCCCATGTCCTCCTCCTGGCTCTCCATCTATGAAGGTAGAGCTAAAGAAAAGGACACCTGGGGCCAGGGTCTGACTGGGGCACCCAGGTTGGGGCACTCAGAATGGCCTCAAAGCCAATTAGAGGGTTTAGGGCCTAACCTCACCGCTTTGGTCAAACTATCATGCCTCCATGCAAAACCTTGAGGGGATGCTCCAAGGGAACCCTTTCTTACCAAGTTCTACTTCTTCCGTCTTAGGACTTTTCACCCCACCCTCCTCTTTACCTCTCTGCCCCAGCCTGAAATCTGATCCTGGCACACCCCACCTTTAATGGGCTCCCTGCCCCTACGATCCATCTACTGTCCTCTCTGCTTTCCCCATGCAGTTCCTTTTGCCCGAGATGCTGATTCCATAACACTGATAACGCTCTTCATCCTTAGATGCCACTTCCTTCTGGAAGCCTTCCCCAGCTCCTTGGGGCAAGGCTTCTGGAAGGAGGCTTCCTCTCACACCCTATTCACATCCCTACTGGATCCACAGCCACAGACTCTCAGGCCCTAAGGTGTCACCTTAGCCACAGCTTCCAGCCTCAGTTTGCATGCTTCTTGTGATGGTGAGCTCACTAGCTTTCCCAGGCAGCTCTGCCATCTCAGGCAGCCTCCATTGTTGGAAAATCATTCCCTTTCCTGTAGTTTGGCCCCAGGCCATAAAGAACCTGTTGATGCTCTCTCCCCTGGGCTGGCTTTGCCAGAGATCTGAAGTTAGCATACACATCCTCCCTGGATTTTTCTCAAATTGACCATTCCATCCCCTTCAGATCCTTCCTGGGTCCCTTAAATTGTAGTGCCTACCCCAGACTTGTTCAGTTTGGCCTGTCTTCCCCTGTAGTACAGGATACAAACTAAATCTGCTGCTGACTGTGGTCTGAGTAGTGCCAAAGAGCTGACCCATCCCCTCCTTCTTTCTACATATTCTGCCTCTTTAATGCAGCCAGAGATCACATAAGGGATCCTATAGCACTTCCTGCCAAGGAAAACCCCAAGTCCTTTTCCACCGTCTTCTTGGTTAGATTCTGGGTCAAGTGAAGGAACTTTTTTGTTTCATTTCTGATCCTTGTTCTAGTTTGTTAAAAGCTGATAGCTCATGACTCTACTGTCTCCTGCATCCTCATCCACAGCTAGGCCAGAGTCCTGTGGCACCTTTCTAGAGATGTCCTCCAGATTAACTCAGACCCCTCATCAGTTCTCATTGGACACTGAATAAATGACATGAATGTAGGATGCCAGCCTCCCTACCTCCCATGCCCGCAACCCAGACACACTCCTGACCAAAAAGGAACTTGGAACTAGTGTCTTTCTAATATCCTGGGCTGGCCAGGTTGGACACCGTGCACATGCACAAAGTGGGTACCCCGATACCTGCTGAATGATTAGGGCCCCTTGGGAATCCACCAACCCTCTCTGAGTGGCACTCACATCTCTGAAAAGAGAGATGGAGGGACTGGAGTTGGGGACTTGGGAGGCTTCCAAATGGAGGTGGCAGCTGGAGCCATGGGACAATTATAAGCTTGAAGGTTCAAACGTTTTTCTGGATCAACCCACCCAGACACCATTTGGGCACCTGGCCTGCCACCTGGCCAAAACTAGGCTCCACCTCTTTCTCCTGAAACCCCTCCTCTGAACTCCCCTGCTCAGACCCCCTCATCCCCAAGGGCCCCTCAAGTCAGAAGCCAGAAGGCATCTTCTTCTCCCTCTCACATCTAACCAACATCTGATTTGTCCTGGTGTTTTCTGTTCATCCTTCAGTGGTTCTCAAGCCTGGTCTAGCAACGGCATCCCTTGGGAGGATATGAAGAAAACAGCTCCCAGGGTCCTACCCCAGAGAAATCAAACCAGAATTTATGGGGGTGGAGGTGGTGAGGCTAAGTTAATAACCTCCTAGGATTGAGACCTGCTGGTCTGGTGTCACTCCTCTCTGACCGGCTGGCTGTCTCAGCTCCAGCTTCACCACCTCTGGCCTGAGCAACCATGAATAAAGGCCAAGAGACGTGGGAAAGGGTGCTGTCCCCACAACAGCAACCTTCAGTAACAGAAGATCCTGCTAGAACCAGCTAGAACCACTAGCACAAAGCCCTAAGCTTCCCCTAGTGGAAGCCAGGCAGCCCTGGTGGTCTCTCCTAGCAGAGGCTCTAGGATTCCAGGATAACTTCCTGGAAACAAGAGTTTGATTCCTCCAAGAGGCTCAGAGGCCAGGCAGCCTCCAGGCCTGTCCCCAGGGATGGCAGCAGGCCAGCCAGCAGGGTTGATTCATTTCTGCTGAGCAGGAATTGCTGTTGTCTGCCTTATGGGCTATTTTTTTCCCTTCTTTTTAATGACTAATCAAAGTCAATATCACTAGAGAGGCCCAGAGCTGAGTCAGGGGTGTGTGAGAGGCCAAGTGGGTCTCCAGGAAAGAGGGCTCTCCAGTATGATCCCTTCACCTTCTCACCATCCTTTGTACTCCCTCCTCCAACAAATTCCTGCTCTGAACAAGGTCTGCCTCTTAGCAGAGCCCCAGAGCAGCTCAGGGTGGCAACTTCAGGTAGTGAAAAAGGGCTGAGCTCTGCCCCTAGATGTTATGTGACCTTGGATAAACCCCTAGCACTTTCTGGACCTGTTTTCCAACTTGTAAGCTAAGCGGTTTAACTAGGTAGTCCTTGAAGACTGTTCCGGCTGCACCTCAGATGAAAATGTGCCCAAATCCATTGTTCCTTCTGGGAAGAAGTAACTGGAAAGAGGGAGGGAGGCAGATGCCACCCTAAGCCTATTCTTACACCCCTGTTTCTTTTACTCTGCAAGGCAGATCCTGCTGGCTCCATTGTACAGATGAAATGAGCATAGAGAGAAGGCACAAACCTGCCTGGTGTGCCCCAGGACCTCCAGTCTCTTCCCAGCAGTGAGAAAAAAAAAAAAAAAGGGAACTGGTGGGCAAAGGGGAGAACTGCCCTGGCTGCCCCAGTGGACTGGGCTCTGCTCTAGACCAGGTGTTAGGACCACTCACCATTCTCTCTTGGTTGGACATTCCCACTTCTCTGCTTTTGCTCACCCTGGTCCCTCCTTTTGGACTACCTCTCTCCTTCCTTTCAAATCAAACTCCTCTTGGGCCATCTCAAGTCCTCTTCTTCCAGGAAGACCTTTTCCAGGATCTGCCCACCATGACTATCCCTCCTCTCTCTGTCCTCTGGCTCCTGCAGCAGGTCTCATGTGTCCCACACAGCCTAGCATGTATATAAACACTGTTCTGGGCCCAGGAAGGGTTGGGATGGGTCCAAGAATTTTTCAGAAAAAGAAAAAAAGAAAAAACAACAACAACAACAAGAAAACCAGGGAGGCCTGGTTTCCCTCTGAATTGGGAGAAATAGGCAACTGCATGCCAGCAGGGCTGCCTGGAATACCTTGCCCCTAAAGTCTTCTACTTGTGTGACTCTGGACTAGTGTTTGCCCCACTTAGGCCTTTGATTGCCCTTCTGATCTTTGAGGGCTGCCTATAAGGCGGGGGCCCCCATGCTGGCCCCAACTCTCTGGGCAGGAGGGAGCTAGAGAAGGCCGGAGGCCTGGGCCTGGCCTGCAGAGTGCTAAGCAAACGTGCCAGCTCCTTCCCCAAGTGTGACTTTTATAAATAAGCTCCCTTCCCTGCATTCCTTCCAAATGTGGTGGCGTTGGGTGAGGAAGGAGGAGGAAGGAAGAAGAGGGGGAAGGAGGGAAGGGTGGGGGTGATGCAAGTTACTGTCTTAAGCATCACCTCTGTCCATCCCAGCCAGTACTGGACTCTTGGTTCCTGGGGTTCTGGTCTGAAACTTCTGATCCTTGGAGGTTCCAGGTATCCTCCAAATATGGAGTCAGAGTCAGAAGTCCTATGACCACCCTTCCTGCCCTGAGAATCTGGGTTCTAGGTTTTCCTATTTCTACTTTATAGATGGGAATTTGAGGCCCAGAGGGAAACTTATGGGAATGGCTAACTGTTCCTCCCCGCTAGTGTGGGTTCTTGTCACCACTCTATCCTACCCCCAAGGCTACTAGAAACACCTAATGGGCAGGACCACCAAAAATGAGGACAGCAGCTTTAATGGGCTCTGAATGCCTGAGGGGTGGCATCTAGAGAGGAAGCCTCAGTTGATTCAGAGAAACCAGGCCTTACCATCTAAGGGCCCAACTTGGTTAGTATGTGGGGAGGGAGGCAGGGTGGGGGTGGG